ATTATGGTGCTGCAAAAGCTGCTAAATATGGTAGAGAAAATGAACACACCAGCATAAAAAAATGTGCACGATCAGTGACATTTAGAAATAAGTACTGTACATTTTCCTTGAAAGCATTCAGTTTAGATCATTCTATATCTTTTTAATCGGCGCGCTTCAACACTTTTTTTTTGTTGTTCATTTGCAAATAAATGATGCACCCTGATCTGTGCCTCTGAATTAGGAGTTGCAGGAGGAGTTGGAGCAGGAGCAGGAACAGTGGGAGCCGGAGGGGTTCCAGGAGGTGGACAATATTATGGTGCTGCAAAAGCTGCAAAATATGGTAGAGAAAATTAACATACCAGCATAAAAAAAACTGTGCACGATCAGTGAAATTTAGAAATAAGTACCGTACATTTTCCTTGAAAACATTCAATTTAGATCATTCTATTTTTTTTTTATTGACGTGCTTCAACACTTTTTTTTGTTGTTCATTTGCAAATGAATGATGCACCCTCCTCTGTGCCTCGGAATTAGGAGCTGGAGGAGGCGCCGGAACAGGAGCTGGAACAGGAGCAGGAACAGTGGGAGCAGGAGGGGTTCCAGGAGCTGGACAATATTATGGTGCTGCAAAAGCTGCTAAATATGGTAGAGAAAATGAACACACCAGAATTTTAAAAAATGTCCACGATCAGTGGCATTTAGAAAAAAGCACATTTTACTTGAATGCATTTAATTTAGATTTTTTTTTTTTTTTTTACTTGCCACTTGAACACTTTTTTTGCGTTTTCATTTGCAAATGGATGATGCACCCTGATCTGGGCCTTTCAATTAGGAGTTGCAGGAGGAGCTGGAACAGGAGCAGGAACAGTGGGGGCAGGAGGGGTTCCAGGAGGTGGACAATATTATGGTGCTGCAAAAGCTGCTAAATATGGTATTATGATTGTGCACTCAAACACAAACATGATGGATTAATTAGATACTCCTGTATAGTTTGTAATTGTAGAAATATTGTCCGTATAACTTTACTTTACTCCTTATTTACCATCTTTTGATTCAATTTAATCCTGCATAAACTGCAGATCAGTACTATTTTCCAATCTATATACATATAGAACTTACACCTTTTCCTTTGATTAGGTGCAGGAGGAGGACAGGGAACTGCTGGGGGACAAACTGGTAAACAGACTCTTATCTACATCTTATTTAAAAAAATATGCAACATCTCATATTTTGTCGTTAGTCAGATAATGATGAATATATATATATTTATGCAGGATATGCAGGATATGCAGGCGGTGCAAAACCACCTAAACATGGTAAGTTAAATCACCCTATTTACATCTAATTCAAATGAGTAGATGGACTGAGTTACTGCAAATTTCCCTGTGCTTTAACTTTCAAAATAACTCACCCTCAAGTCTACAATAGCTCCCATTGAAACACAATAATGGACACATCAGCGACATTAATGTTCGTACTTGAGAAACCGCCATGATGCTGGGTTCCCATGATTTCACTGAGTTTATGTGGGAATCCTGCAGGGGGCATCGGTGGGGGAGGACTTGCTGTGCCAGGAGCGACTCCACCTTCCAGTGGTGTTCCAAATGGTTCTCTTGTGCCTGGTGGCGTTCCCGAAAAGCCAGGTGAAACTTTGAATGGTTGTCACTGATACTGTGAAGTTTTGGGCTTTGGCATTTAAATGTCAACTGCTTTCACAGGAAAGGATGTAGATCTCTCTGGAACTTCCCAACCAGGTAAAATTGAATATCAAAACCATGCACACGCACACACACGCACGCACGCACACATCTGTGCTTTTGCAATAGCTATATGCTGCATACTTATCTATCTACAAATCTTACACGTTGGTTGTATTGCTAGTGCTGGCAGCTGTTGCCCACCCTTAGCTTCTAGGCTCCAGCTGTGGCAGTGTCACAGTGCTCTTCACAGCTTCTGCATTTTACTGGCCTCTCTCACGTTGCGCCTGTTAAAAGCACACTGGATGAAACCGGAACCTGTTGTCTTTTTGGCAGGGCCTACGCCTATTACTGCACTTAGCAAGGCCCCAGAGGTCCCACAGCCCAGTAAGACTTGCTGCTTGCATTCTGCTTTCTACCACAAAGTGAATTATGTGACTTTTGCCCTTTTATAGACTGGTTCCTAATTTTTTGGGGAGTGTAAAAAGAACCTCTTTTTTAACTTCTTATTTTCAGCAGTACAACAATGTTTACAACATTTATTTATCTTAATTTTTAATACTTTATTTATGTTAAATACAATAAATATTTACATGAAACAAACAAAGTCATTGGATGACAGAGCTGAGGCAGTGCTTAATTAGGAACTGATTCGACCTGTTCTATTAATACAGTATAATGGTAGTTTAAACCCTAGTTTTCTTTATCTTTAAATGCCTTCTTTCCTTGTCACTACAGCTTGCTGTGCTTACTGGATTGTTTCCAATTACTTTTGACTTTTTAAATATATGTCTTGCAAGGTCATCAAATGACTTTTGGATCATAGGTTTCATCCTCCTATTTCAGACAGCCCTTATTGTTTTTGGCTTTTATCATTACTATTTGAATTAGGCCAACTTCTGTGATATCTAAATAATCTATGAATCTACTGAAATCATTGCTTACACAGTTACAGTGATTTAAACTAACTTTTTTTCCCTTTCCTGTTTTTTTTTTTTGTCCTTTGTTCTGCGGTGGCTTGAAAACAGGCGGTGAGTATTAATGTCTGTTGCAAAGAACTTAATTCGATGTTGTTGTATGTTTTATTTTTTTGTTTTATTGTCATTTTAAACTTTTTCTCGACAGTTGCTGGTGGAATATTACAGCCAAGTGGTGAGTAGTTCAAGTGACAAGTGGTGAATGATGAATTCTGCTTCATTGTTATTCCTCATGAATGCTAAAAAAATGATCTTTACTTTTTCACAGCTGGCACAAGTGTTGGTAAATATGCAGAGATTATCCTGTTCTGTATTTCACACTGATAAACACACAGTTATTCTGCATGTTACATATACAAACCAGATGTGCCTCTTTTTTTACCATTTGTGTTTCTGTCATAGGTGGAGCAGGAGTTCCAGCACCATCTGGTGGTCAGAACTGCTTTCTTATTCTTAACATAATTAATTTATAACATGTCAATAGTCGAGTTGTAACGTCTTAAATTGACTCAACTCTGTCTCATTCTTATCGGATTGAATTTAAGGTCAATCTATCTAACTTATCCTCAACGATTTTAGGCTAAATATTAACAGCTGCAACTTTGCTTTTTTAGTTGGCACCCCAGGCCAACCTCAAACTGGTGAGTGTGAGCAGCCATCAAACTGTTTTAAATGTGTTTATGCTTCTGATTCCATTAATACTGTGCGGCATCGTCTTTTCCCAGTTGTGTATTCACTTGTCACGAGCTTTGCTGATCAAATTATATGTTGCGTCCATCTGGCCACATGATGGAGACAAAGCCTACTGCACCGGCTGCTCAAACTGACACAGCTCAGAGACTAATGACGCTGCTGTTTTCAGGTGTCGGGGTCAAAGCACCAAAACCATTCGTGCCAGGTAAAAATCCACTGCCTGCAGATTTGTAAATGTTTCCACTGAGTGTGCCAGTGTGTTGCAGCATTTTACTCTTTTCCTTAATTTCCAATCGGTCATTGCTTTAACTTGTCATTACACTGACTGTACTCATACCATTACCAAAGGAATTTATATTAAAATTAGTTGAAGTAACATTAAGATACTGACTTCTCAGACTGGTTAGGTGCTGACCATAACTGTCTTCATTTCAATCATGTCTGTGGCTCATTTGCAGAAAGGATTGCATGACCCTGGAATTATCAATCAATTTTAAATGATAACTTATAAACTATGTCAATGGTCTTCATAATTCATGTACGATGGTATTATGAGTCGATCTGTATGGATTGCAGATCAATGCTGCCTGCATGCTCTTTTCGCTTTGACATCAGAGTGCACACAGGCTCTTAACTCTGTCAGGCCTGGACATTACATATTCTGAACAGCCTCATTATTCAATCAATACACTTTTTATATTCCCTCTTTTACATGCAAGAGGGATTTTTCTTAACAGGCACACTCAGTCTAGACGGCAAACGAGCCCGCTTGAATCAATAAAGTGACCAGTTCGTTTGAAAGGAAAAGCTGCATCAGGCCTTTTTTTAACCAATTACACCTCTAACCGACTCATCTATCACCAGGGTTCATGGTTTTTGCAGTTTTGCTGTTTTTTCTTTGTTTCCGCAAGACACGCTTGTATTAATATTAATACAGAAATTCAATATTTGTTGAGTCGTATTTGAGAAAAAAGACACAGTCAGGAGAAAGCAGCATTCATTAATTCTAATTTTTTCATTTTATATGTAATTAACATTCTGTATCAAATCAATATACATTGCTTTTTTCTTTGTTTTTTTTCTTTCATAACATTGAGAAAAGGAAAAAAATTTTAAAGATGGTCTCACTGATTCAAATGTATTGGAATTTTTTCTTGAATGGAGTCTAATATAAATCATTCATCATATTAATGTTGAATATACTCCGCAGGTCCAGTGGCAGGTGGATACCCCTATGGATATGGAAGTAAGTGTCTTATTCATAGCTTGACTAGTCACAGATTTGTTTTAAATGGTAGTAAAAATCACATCTCCTTTCTATGCTTTAGTACCTTACCAAGGAGCTGGCACTGGAACTGGACCAGGAGCTGGAACCCTTCCTGGGGCAAAGCCTCTGAAACCTCCAGGTACAATTGTGCTTTTCCATCTTGAAAGGGTTTTTTCTTTTGGATTTACCATGTGTTTTGGTCATGTCGTGTTGTATTACTCTTTGCAGTAGCAGGAGGTGGAGCAGGAATCCCACTTTCAGCAGGAGGTTACCAAGGTCAGTGCACACGAGTTTAACAAGAAGTAAAAATGAATGTTTGATTTTTGTTTTTATGTTAAGAATCTTCTTGGAATTTTGCCATTTCTTGGATGGTTAAATCCCTGACAAAAAGTGCAGTAGAGGGCTAAATCTACCAAACAATGTTGACACTTTTCTCTTCATAATTATCCAGGGGGATACAATCCATATCAACAAGGTTATGGACAGGGTATGTATGAAAGGAGAGGGTGGCCTGGCAGCTCCAACGTTCCCCTGACTTTAAAAAAACACTCAGATTGTTTGGCCCAGTGCTCAAAGTGACAGTTGGTCAGGAGATGCCATCTATTCGTATTTCCTGTGCAGGAAATTGGTCAGCATGCTGATAAGTGTTTGTATGATACACGCAGGGTATCAGGAATGAGCTGCCTTGATGACGGAAAAGAACTGTTGCTTGAACGCGTTTTATCCAACTTTCCCACTCCTCCTACATCTGTTGTGCAGTCCTGTTCACATCAGCTGCAGGTTAAATAGTCTAAGTCTCTGTAATCACATGTAACATGTCTCCTCTCCGTATGCTCCTGTAGTTGGACCGGGAGCAGCCGGTGGTGGAGCTAAAGCACCCAAACCAGGTGATGTGAGAGGGCCTCACACTGCTGAAACAAATGGAAAAATGCATTTTGAACTTGATTTTGTTTCTTTACAGTCTCCCTTCTAGTAATAGTTGAACAGTTTGTAACTATTTTAGGGGGGATATATGAGATCAAATTGTTTCGCCACCACCAAATGTACCGTTACAAATCCCACTGGAGACTGGCCGCTGTTTGCAGTACTGTGCTTAAGATTGTCTGAAGATAACAAAAACCCGCGAGAGCCCTGCCCTAAAACAGCTCCTAATTGGGGTGTGGTTGTTTCTGTGAGTTCATTTGATCCAAAGGCCACATTAAAGGGGATAAAAGGCAACACGGTAACCATAGAAAAATAATGAAGATTTGTAATCTCCACACTTCTAATCTGGACAGGTTACGGCAATCTTGGGACTGGCGGTGTGTATCAGCAAGGTGAGCTGCAAACTGTCTCTAATCTGTCCCCTTCACTCATTAAACAGTGGTGTGCTTTTTTAGTTTTTATTCAAATGGTCTCATGAGGTTTACATTTAAGATGGGTGAAACACAACAGAATTCACATTTTCTGTGTACTGTTGCCCTTTCCTTCCCCACAACCTCATCAGTGATGGATATGGATGAGTGAAATCTCGCAGCATGCAGCTGGCAGCAGGCAGCAGAACCCACTCTAACCTCACCAAAGACACAAAAAGTCACAGCACTAAACTTTCACTGGTCAGACGTGCAGCTGCACAGAATATGCAGCAAAGATATTTGCCAAATTAGGTATTGTAGAATTATTCAATTTGGGCCAAGTCGCTAAATCTCCTGTTTTTATCCCTCCACATGGTTACCGTTAGTCATCATTTACAATCAAGATATGGTTAACTGTAAAATCTGAAAACGAATTCTACTTTTCATCAATACAATCAGTCGGTTTAGTCACCAATGACACACCCTCCGGGTGTTTGTGATGTCTCAATGGTAACTTCTGTCTGAATTTACAGGTGTGCCTCCTGGTTACAGAGGATACCCTCAGCAGTTCTACCCAGGTAAAGATCTGCCTTCTGAGAGAACAAAATGTTTCAAGATGCTCTTAACCCTATAATGCCATATGCATCATGTTGGATCCATGTTGTTTCTGAAATGTTTTGCATCTGAGACGTTTTGCATCATTTAAAGGTACAAACATTCCTCAGAACCCTGTTGTACACATTTAAACATACCTGGTAACAGCGGGCAGAAGCCTACACAAGAATAGTTTGCATGGTAATAAATTATGAATATTCAAAAACATTTGCTATTTATTTTTTTCATAGTTTGATAAATGAGGAAAAAAAGACTTAAAGCAAATACAAATAGTTTTTCCTTAAATTTTCTTGGATCAGGCTTTAAAGGATTAATGACAAACATTTCCTGAAAGAGTGATTTAGCTAATTCAATTTTTGACAGAAGTAATGTGACTTCCTTTCCTGATTTGTGTTTCGGACAAACGCTTCTGTGAGTTGCTTTAAATCCGCGTAGACAACATGAAAGAGGATAAAACTGAATCATTTATTTTTAGAAGGAGGATGCTTCTAAAAGCCTCCACACAGGATATGTGTGGTGGAGTCTGTAGTCAGAGAAGCAAATTCAAACAAATTTAAACAAAACGTTCAGGATTTCTTAGAATATCCGAGCTTAGTTCACAAAGACCCACACTGCCTACTCATGGACAGGTATTATGGCACAGATGTTGCTTTAACATTTTGTCCTTGTGTCCGGATCAGAAGGTGGATTAGTGCTGAACCTGCCAGTTTTAAAGCTGAGCAGACAAAATGATTGAAAAAAAACAATGCAATTTCTAACATTGACTTTTTACCTCTCCTTCTCTTTATGCTGACCAATTTCTTCTTAACTTTTCAAGTTTCAAAACAAAATTTTGAGGGGGTCTTGAAAGATCTGTGAATAAAATTTTAGCAGTCAGGGCAAAGCAGAAAAGATTTATCATTGAACTTCACCCAATATATCTCACAATAAACTGAAAAAGTCATGTTTGTTTTTGTTCAGTTCTGTGCCCTAAGTTATGGATTTACTTGCATAAAGCAACTAATTGCATTGATTAAATCGCATTTTCGAAGTGGATAGCTAAGCTCCAGGTTTAAGTGCACCTTGTGATCTAGTCTAATGTCAACATTTCTTTGCTTCTGATAACTCCCTGGCCAAAAGGAATGCATCAGTGTTTGAGACAGAGCCAAAATGCTAATATCTCTGCATTTGTCTGCTGGCACCAACTCATCACCTACTTGTGTTTGTTTCTGATGCTATCCAGGTGCATATGGCCCAGCCGGACTGACTCCTCAACAAGGTATGAAACACAGGCAAAGCCTCTAAAAAAAATTTTTGGGGAAATCTGTGCTTGCCAGTTCAGGCTGCGCAGAGCAGCTTGTGGGCTGCATACTGCAAAGAAAGACAGTTTTTAAAGAATTCATGTTACGGGGGGTGAACTTGTTCTAGAAAAACTTTAACACACAACTTTCTATACAGTAATACAAAAAAAACCAATAAGTTGAAACATAACCGTCCAGAATGATCTTGTCATCAGCTGACTGTCAACATGACAACTAGTAATATTAGTTTGTAAAGCAGGAGAACACTTTAAGCTAATCCACGGTTTTATTTAACTATGCAATACTCTGTGTTTCTCTAATTTATGTTCCTCTTTATTGTTTTTTTAGCCAAAGCTGCAAAGTATGGTCCACTGCAGGGCTTCCTTGGTGGTGCAGGAGGAGGTGGAGGAGGAGGAGATGTCTATAGAGGTACATACCTTACACCCGTTTTCTCTGATATCGATGTAAACGGCCGTTTGGCAGGTGTGTGACTGTTGGACTAAACTGTGGCTGTGCTGGTGCTTGCTGCAGGCGGCGTTGCAGGATGCCAGGGCAAATACTGTGGGAGGAGGAAGTAGAAGATCTCTTGAGATCCAGTGACCTCAAGAAACCATGGTGCTACTGCATGATCGAGAATGTACATTTCATATGCAAACATGCCCCATTAGACAACCTGTAAAGATGTTGTTTTCTACTTACTTGACTTCATGTCTTTTTTAAGCAAACCCACCGACCCAGAATTTTGTACACGTTCTGATGTGACTTATAGTGCCTTTAATCATTAATGTGTTCAAGTTAATCAGTTTTAACTCTATACAGCACCAGCCTACTCGATATATGCTGTATGTTTGTTTTCCCATGTGTTGCATCACATGTGTGTTGTTCAGTCACAGGGTTTTATTGTTCTGCTAAAGATGTCTGAACTCTGAGTCATCAACGCACCGTACGTGTGATTTCTCTTTTTGGCCTTGCGTCTGGAGCTCTCAGCCTCTCTGATGCGTCTCTGGGAGGGCAGGCCGGTTCAAAGCACAGTCAAAATGTGATCAAATCTGGCCAATCTTTACACCGCCTTTGGCTCCCAGCTTTCTCTGCGGCTATTTTTAGGCCTGCTGGGTATAAAGCAGCGGGAGCTGGGGGAGCGGCCAACCCATCTGCTCTCTGAAACTTTGCTGATTCTAGTTGCTGAGCAGAGCAGTTGTCTCAGCATTTCTAACTCTGGTCTTTGTGGCGGAGCAAGACTGAGACAATCAAAAAGTGGAACGAGATGGCTTTCATTTTCAAGCACGTCAAATATGATTGGGTTACAACTATGGCGTGTGCATTATGCATGGTTGGTTGAATGTCAGCGTCTTCATGTGGCGGAAAGTCAGAGCACTTCAGTCTTCTTCCAGACTTTACTCTCATTTATATTAATGTAACTTGTCATTATGTGATTATTCAGCATTTTTGCTATTTGCTTTCAACCATAGTTTTATTATTATCAGGAAGGTGTAAACATAAAACCCGAGCAGCCTTTGTTTTTGCATTTCATTTCTGTTATTAACTGTAGTACAGAATAATGCTTCGTTTAATGGGAGAGCCTGTGCGTTTGTGTGAGGCATACAATCCTCTTGTATTTTTACTTGAGCTGCTTTTATAAAGGCTTTACTGACCAAAGGTTCCTAAGCGCTGTCGCCAAGTGACCCCATCCCTCTAACTGTGTACTGTATTTTGTACTAATTTGATGTTGGTTGGCTTCAGTTCCTTCACTTGGTGCTGTATGAGAATTGTCTTTGAGCCTCGCTGGGTCAGACCTGGTCTTATGTGGCGTGGGATAGTCTTCATCTTTATTTAAAACTGTTTTTAGAAGGAGGAACAGTGTGGTTTTGCACTTTTTTTATATCCCCACGACACACATGACCTGTTCCCAGATACCCCAGCTTTTTCATGTGCTTCAACAAGTAACTAAATAAAATGTTTTAAAATAGCTAACGTCTCCCCGTTTGTTGTTTCTCGGCGTCGACTGATGACACCAAAACTGTTAGTTTTATGCACTGTGGGGTTTTTCCGTGGGGAAAGATTCAGCTAATATTACATACGGCCTTACGTTGTAGTCTGAGTTCTTCTACTGTCACGAAAACAAGCATTCTGCTTGTGCCTGAGTTTAGTGGCAAAAACTGATCACACTGAACTTGCTCTGCTTTTCTCTGAAGATTCTCAAGAGAGAACTATTGACCTGTGAGCCACATCCTGTAAAAGTAGCTTACTCTATCTGGAGGAGCCTCACGCTCTGCTGGCAAAACACCTCAGCGTCCCTGTGGAGCTATAAAATATTCCTACTCTCAGACCAAAACAGACAGCGGAAATATCACCGCTTAAGACCTTATTATTTCTCGAATGAGTCCTGGGGAAAAGGGAAAATCAACAGGAAAACAGGCCCTGCTTCCTCTGAATGTAAATGCCGAAGAGTAAATGTTGCATTCACAGCACTCCAAGTTAGTTGAATTACTTGCTGACTGAATTTCTGTGTTTCATTTCAAGATTGAACCCCTCACTTTGGCTTGCATTTCCCAATAAACTCTGCATGCCACATTTCATCCACCTTTTAAATCTACTCTGCTGTTTTGAGACAATGCTTTGAATATATACTCAGCATTCCTTCATACCAATTAAATCAAACATACTCCTGCAGGAAGCAGGTATGTTTTAGTTGTTTAGTTACTTTCTGTGGGGATGGGTGGTGGCAGTCTCCCCCCCCCCCCCCTCCATGTGAGAGAAAAGGGGCTGAATCTCTAACTCGGGGCGTGTTCCTGGTTGGCCAGCCCGCGTCCCCTCTCCCCGGCTCGGCTCGGCTCATTGGTCGGCGACTGTCTCTCTTGAATGAAGCGCCGCAGAGCCGTGAGGAGCCCAGCAGCCGGAGGAAGAAGCGTGGCCCGCCACCGCCACCAGCAGCTCCAGCAGCTCCCCCACCAACAGCCCAACAGCCTCAGCACCGCCGGGCTGCTGCTTTCTCTGTCCGGACCGCAGGCGGCTGGCTCTCTCCCGGAGCTCGGGGTCGGAGAGTGAATGAGGTTGATGCTGCTCTGCTGCTCCTGGAAGGACGAACGCATGGGAGAGGAGGAAGGTAAGAAGGGGGTTCTGCTGGGGGTGGGGGGGGGGGGGGGTTTCGGGGGGGGGAGATGCAGACACAGCTTTGGCATCCGCCGCAAAACGCGGAGGATGCTGCACCCAAAGCGCAGGGAGAGGGTAAAAAAACAAACAAACAAACAACGTTTGCTCAGCTGGTGTGAGACGGTTAGTGAACAGGCTGGTTTGGTGACACCCGTGGATCTGCCCGGGGCGTTGCTAATGCCAATGCAAAGCCATGTTCTCCTTCAAGCTGATTCACGCATCGCGTTTGCATGCAGAGGCAGCAGCGACTCAGGCCCAGTCCGGACACGCTCCGCATGTAGATCCATTGCAAAAAAAAAGGAACCCCCTGACTTCTCTGCACACTCTGAAGAAGGTGGTGGTTTTCTTGGCGGTGTGGGGAAGTGAACGCATCAGTGCAGGCAGTTTGCTGAGCTGGATCTCCTGCAGCTCCCGCCCGACTCCACTCCTGAAAAGTGGCTGTAAACTGCCCGGGCGAGACAGAACGACTGTGCCTACTCCAAAAAAAAGGCCACCTGCACAAGTCGTGTGCTTCTTTTGCACGGCTTACCGAGAACAATAGTGGTTTTGTATCACTTTGCATGGGAATGAAAAAGAGCTTCTGGAATACCAGTGAAAAAATGAGATGGGAGGGGTTGAGCTCCCCCACCTGTGCAGGTTGCATATTTATATAGTCTATAGATGAATTCAGAAGTATCTTGTTTGGCTTTGCTGTGCTCTTTGAGGCCCAGAGAAGATCTGCTCACTCAGGCCTCGGGCCGCACAGACTCACTGACACTGACAGAAAAACAGGCTTGGACATGCCAACATGTCATGCAGGATGACACCCGCATGCAGATGTTTTGCCACAGCACTTTTTGATCTGTGGCAAAACAGTGATACAGTACTGATCAGTGATAAGAATTTAGCTTCTTTATACCTCACATATTTTCTCTGAGCTGTATAGGTAGTGAATGATTGAACCCTGTTTAAACATTTAGATCTTACACATTGCAAAGAAAAAAAACTTAACGCTTTGGCATTTTTATTCTGGTTGTCAAGGTCACAACATGGACTGGTTATTCTATTCTTATTATGTTTTAGCTTTTGATCGACAGTCTAGATGTTGGTATTGCGTGTGCGAAACATTTTCAGACTCAGGGAGTGCAAAAGGCTGATGGTTTTATTGGGTATTGCAGATTAGCATGGAGGAGTGCCTCTCTTTCCCAACAAAAGCAGGAAGTAGGATTTACGAGGCATTTACTGGCTGCCCTGTTAATATTTGCCGTTGCTTTGCATCTGAAGTCTTCCTGCTCAGGATGTGAATAGCACAGGATTTGGTTTTCAGGCAAATGAACTGCAGCAACAAAGTTGTAAGCTGTAAGCTAAGCTGCCCCCTCACGCTCTGGAGTGAACGGACCCTCACTTCTGCTTTCTCTTTGATACATCACAGAACGATGTGTCCCCGCTCTGCCAAAGAGTTCCTTCCTGAACACTGTGCTCATTAGAGAGGAGGAATCTGCTGTGATGCGCAGCTATTAACCGTCTCTTATCAGTGAAGTTTAGCTGTTCTAATACTTGTGTTGCATAGTTTGGAAAACTTTCAGGGAAGCTGGGAAGAGTGGGGCTTTTGTGGTTGCGGCCGTATATGGAAGGTCTACAGAAAGTCAAGTCAAGTCAAGTCAAGTCAACTTTATTTATATAGCACATTTAAAATAACCAAGGTTGCCAAAGTGCTGTACATAAAAAGCATATATATGTGATTTTAATGTAAAAAATAAATAAATAAAAATAATAAATAAAGAAAGCAAAACAAATAAACAAGAATATGACCAATGGCTAAAGTCTGAGCTGTCTTTTCTCATTACAGTATAGCCAAAATAATTTTTGGTCCGAATACACTTTTTTTATTTGAATGTTCTGTCTTCAGTTTCAGTTTGAGTTGAATTACCATAAAACATTTTTTTTCTTAAGTATGCATTCATCATATGGTTGAATTGTGTCAAAATATCATAAAATGTTTCAGCAAAGAGCTACCACTTGTGTTCTGCAGCTGATGTCGATGAGGGATGCTTTTGTTGATTTTTTGACAGGAGCTGTAATGAGTATTTTATTGACAGTGTCAGTCAAATGCACACCTCATCATATGAGATGATCTAGCATTGTTGAAGCTTATGGAATCCCCCCTCCCACCCCTCTTCTTACAGCTGGAGGAGGCTTGCCCGTGTGTGCGGGATGCAAACAGAGGATCTATGACGAGCAGTACCTCCAGGCGCTCAACTGTGACTGGCACACCGTCTGTTTCAGGTACTGCTGCCACAAATCAGCACCACACACGATCTCTGCCCTAATGTGGGACCACGTCTGCTGAATTCAAATGAGTGTTGGATCACTGGCATATCATCACTTTTTAGGAAAAATCTGCTCTGTAGCTGCTTAATGCTTTGGCGTGGAAGCCCTTAGAGTGAAACGACTAATTATGGTATTTATGTCGATCTAATGTACTCAGGAGCAGTTAAAAATATATATTTTTTAAGTTTCTTCATCCTCCTCCTTATTTTCAGAAAGGTTTTTTATCTTTTAGAAGAGTGTGATTGTTATTTGTGCGTAAATAATAATGCAGTATTTTAAGTAGGACCTTTTCTCAGTGCATGAGTCTGTCATCCTATGATTTGTAATTTTTAATGTCATGTCATTTTGTTTTTGTATTACTTGTTTCTGCCATCAGAGGGCGATAGTTGAACCACCACCACCTGACTAGAAAATTTGCCTGACCAAACAAAACTGTATGTTTCCAGACATTTACTTAATTTTTTTGGAATTCATAAAGTCGGGAGAAAAAGTGTTTTTAATCAGAAATGGACAAATTAACTAGATTGGGCTTTTTTTGTCCTCCCTTTTAAAGGTCACATTGTCCTCAGTGCCGTGTCTTTCTTTGAGTTTTTCGGTGCCATCAGTCTTTCAGGGTCACTGCATAAGAGAACTGTACAAAGATGCCTTTCTTATAATTAAACAAGGCCAGTGTCTGTTACCCATAATGCATCACAATCAAAGACAATCACAGACTTAGATTTAGGAATGTGAAACAAAAGCAATTAGAAGCACTAACTGGCATTCAGTGAATGCATCTTGTGCCCCAGTGAACACTGAATTTCTTAATGATTACCTACTTATAAGCTGTAAAGCAGATTCGAGTGCTGCTCTGCACTTTCTAGTAGACGAACTATTAACTTGAAAAAGGTTTCTCTCTCCACCCTTGAAACAAAGTGTTTATTGTGATTAATAATACACGTGATCCGTCTCACAGGCTGACAAATGAGCAGCGCATCGGCTCGTACATTAGCCCGTCTCAGTCTCAGTTGTTAGAGAAGCTCTCGTTAGTGTGGTCCTCTCTGCATTAGTGTCAGTAATCCCAACTTTGATCGATACCTTTTAAATTCATCACTGCTTGCCCTGTGAGTCTGACTTCATTAACCTCTTTTCCTCACACAAATGTCACTTTCAAAGCCTCTTCATCAGCATATTTTTCTAGCAGATGATGGAGTAATAAATCTATCAGCTTTTAAGCACAGCATTCTTAATTAGAGATTAAGATGATATTGCCAGCCACCACTAGATGTTACAGTGGAGCCACATCTGATGTTGATAGTGTCTCATTGACCCTTTTCCATATTTCATTTTGTCGTACTGCTGTTTGTGAAGAATTGCCCCTTTGAGCTTTGTTCTTTTGTGTGAACAAAAGCCACATGTTTTTATCTGCATAATTTAGAGCTAAAAGCTGAAGTGTTTCTCTAATTTCTTAAGAGCTATCATCATTAGTTTGGTGTTGTTTAGGAGCAAAGGCTGTAAATTACTGGTCATATTTCGCTGGAATCATGTTACCCTCTGCACTCATGACTCAGATAGCAAGATAGTCATAGGAAAGGACGTTTAGACATACTAGTCATCTGTCTGTTGAAAACTGAGCAGGCATGTAAGGCCCAGAGGTCCATCGGTCCGAAGAGAAGGAAGTTAGTCCACAGAGGCTTTTGGAGAATGTCGAGTGTCGTCCCCTGGGTGGAAAGTTTAAAAAAACAACAACAACAACTTACTGTTTCTCTGAAAATAGGACTGGCATGCTGCAAGCTTCATGGGAAAATACAGCTGAGCTGCTTTCCACATTTGCTCTCTCTGTTTATTGCAAAGCTAAACTGGAAAGCAGAGACTGTTTATCAGGGTTCACTATTTATTCACCGTCACGAGGGACAAAAGCCAACCAAACATTATTGATCTCATGCATGTCTCTATGACCAGACGGAAGCAGCGTTTTTCCATCAATCAGTGAAACATATTGATCCTGATGTGTTTCTGCGTCACTGTGGTCCAGTTGTAGAGATGAGTTTGACTGTTATTGACAACATCTTAGTGGAGCAGGGCTCTGTGGAGGGATGTGAGCTGTTAGAATTAGCAGGATATCATTTACACATCAGCTGTGACAGTTTTCAACTTATTGTAAGATAAACAGTAGCTATTTATTATTCCGGTACAGATTAAGACTTTATTTTGTGTCTTTTGGTAATAGATTGTCATCCTTTTTGGGTTATTTGTCACTTTTCCCGTTATCATAATATCTTTATGTTTTCTGAGGGCATTTTTTAAAACCAAGCTCAGGCATGTAAGAATGTAAGAAACTGTACCACAAGAACAAAACCCAAAGCAATAACTTCCTAATATGAAATACTATAGTGATATAAGAAACCTAAACCACGTCTTAGACCGCTTTCTACTTTTAAGATGCAGCAATGTTTGACCAAAATGTGGAAAAACTCATTTTGTTGCCTTATCTGAGGGCCACAAAGCTAACCAGCTCAGACTGATTATCATTGCCATAGAGTTGCATGTCGAATATCATCAAAGAGCTTTAATAATGCTTCTGTAAAGTAATAGAGAAGAGCAATTCAGGTTCGATGATAAAATGTTCAATGGCCATCCTTTAATAATGTCTGATTCTTTTGTCACGTTAATTGCCACGTTATCAGTTATATTATAGAGTCTGAATCAGCAGCTGCCAGTGATGTAAACAGAATTACATTTTCATTCCTCCATAGTGACATTGAAAAAGATAAATATAATAGAGAAATGCTACTAAAAGTGTGCATTTATAAGGTAAAACTGGAGCAGTGCTGCAGTCTCACTGCAGTATCCTGCAGCTTTTCCTACACCCATTCAAACTACTGGCAGTCACTGCCCCAACAGTTTGCCCCAAAGGATTACAAAGGCTGTTGCTTATGTAGCACTTTGTATTACAGGCTCTTTGTTCTGTTCAGTGTGCATGGACAGTACATTTGACATAGCCAGCATTGATGGAAAAAATATGAGTTAAACTGTTTAGACAAGGCTGCCTTTGTTCAAGAACGAGCTGGAAAAAAAACAACCCTCTGGGGTTGTGGGACACATTTATGTCCCTGTTGGTCATTTCTGCAGGGCTACCATCACTATCTGTCTGAAATACTCAGTGGGAATACGTAAAGGCCATTTATTGGTCAGGCAGTTTGAGATGCAGTTAATTTTGGTTAGTAATCTTCAACACGAAGAGCTGCAGTGACTCAGCGGTTTCCACTTGCGAATGAAGTCTGCCTGGTGATAAAGAACAGCAGGAAAAAGCTGGAGACAGTCCGTATCTTTAATCAAGTGTGTCTTGGTGCAAGATATCGACTGTGAGCTGAGCTCATCAATGATGCTGGTCAAGTTGCAGAATTAGTTTTAAGCTTTTTTTTTTATAACTGGCCATTTCACAGCACTTTGTCCTGCAAGTTTGCAGTTTATATTCATTAAACACACCACACACAATCAATCAGTACTTATACAAAAACTCTAAGTAGCCCTACATCTATGTGAAAATTGGAAAATTAGACGGATGGAATTGTGGCAGTTGTTAGTAAGACAAGAATTTGTTTGTGAAATAAAGCAAAAAAAATATTTGAACACATATGACCGAGTTTTGACATGCATGCATATGTCTATCAACAATTTTCAGTCTCATAGCTGACGTCCACTTTTCTTCATCAGATACGAAGTCTGCATAAACTTGCATGGAATCAATTGCATAGTTCCAAATGACCCTCTAAAACAGGCTTTGAAAAGCAAATGTTTGGTCACATAACAGAAATGTGAACACGTTGAAGTCCTGAGAGTAAACACTGCGTCATACCGTGTATATACTGTAAATAATGTTCCAAGTTGTTTTATCTATAGGGACCGTTCCCATGGAGACACGTTGCTGAGATGCCCATGTTGGCTACCACATCGTCTACTGAATTTGGTCCCCAGCCAGTTAGTGATCCAGGCAGGTCTTATATCTGCACTATAAAATAAATTGAGACCCCCTGTTTAGTTACAAAATAAATAGACATTTGAATTGGGCTCAACAAAAGGCTTAAAAAGTCGGTGGAACTTTTAGCAAACAACTGGGGGTATGCGTTGCGGCTTTGAAACTAATTGGTAACTGGTCAATAACATGAATAGAAATCAAAAGAGCAGCTTTGTGAGGCAGATCCACTAATGCCCATTAAAGCTTCATTACGCAGAGAGGAATCCGTACGTGGACTTTCTTCAAAGTAGATTATGCCTGGTTTATTCTTTGCTTATAAGATGACTTTGTTCTTTGAAGTTTTACGGCATGATGAAATCCCCAACATACTTTAAGAAAATATTTTAAAATATACCTATATTAAGAAAGCAGATCTTTTTCTATGTATCCCAGCTGTTGACAGGAGGGTCCACTCCATGACAGGGCCACAGAGACAAACAACCACACACACTCACATTCACACCTAGGTGCAAATTGCAGTGTCCAATTAACCTAATATGCATGGTTTGTTTTTTTGTTTGGGGAGCGGGGGGGCTCGAACCAAGAACCCCCTGGCTGTGAGGCGACATTTCTAACCACCACACCACCACAGATCTTTTTGTTGTTAATGTTGTATAACATAGAAACGCGCATGCCCTCGTCAAGAAGCATCCTAAATGATTAATAAAACTTCTTCTGGTCTCGTAGGAGACTGACTTGATGATGTATTTTGTGCCAGTGCTTTAGAAACCGCATTAGATGCATCTTCATGTCTGATCACAGCAGTAAGCTAACATCAGCCGGTGTCAGTCCGGATCGTTTGTATTCCTGAGGATGACGGCTCATGATTTGCGGCTGCTGAAACTCCCGTTGTGAGGGATGTTACACTTCACGTGTGCTAAAGAGAAGCTGCTGTCTCACTTCACCTCTTCTCATCTTTTAGAAATCGGAGCACATCCATCCTCCTGCGAGGAGGCAG